TGAGGATCGGATTGTGTTGTAATATATTTAAGCAGGTTTATGTGTATTAAAATGATTATGGGCAAAGTGATGAATTACAATGTATACTTAAAGGACAAAGTGTTGAATTGTATATATAAGGCAAAGTGTTGAAATAAAGGCCTGAATTATAAGCAAGGAATGTAATATAAGCAGGTTTATCGAAAAATATATAAAAAATGTGATTATTATTATTATTTTTTTAAATCGTGAAGATTAGACAATGCTTTTACAAAAAAGCGCTGCTAAAGGAGTCACAGAGAGCGCTACACAAGCGCTGCTATAGGTGGGGAAATGGGGGGTCTAAGAAAGCGCTTTATAAAAGCGCTGCTAAAAGGGGGGGGGTCTAAGAAAGCGCTGCTAAAGGGGGGGGGGGGGTCTAAGAAAGCGCTTTCTAAAAGCGTTGCTAAAGGGGGGAGGGGAGGGGGGAATAGGAAACACTTTTATAAGCGCTGCTAAAGGGAGCCTTAGCAGCGCTTTTTCCATAAAAAAAGCGCTGCCTTTACCTTTAACCGCGCCACTTTAGGCAGCGCTTTTAAGCGCTGCTAAAGGTAAAAAAAACGCTGCTAAAGGTCTTTTTTGGCATAGTGAATGTTTGGTTTTGAAACGTATCATATGTTGATAGATGTGTAAGTGTCGTCTAAGGGATTTGATGGAAACACTTAGAAACTCACTGAGTGCGAAATATGGTATATGAAACCCTTGTTGGTTATAAGAATGTATATGTATCGTAGTTGAAGTTTAAAGTAATAAAAGCGGTAGTAAAATCCAAAAACTCTTAATATATGGATAACTTAAAATGCATAATCTGAATTGTGTGGCATTGCAAATAATAGAATAATTAGTTAGGTGTAAGTAAAAGCCCTATGTGTGTGCGTCCGTGCATGCGTGTGTGTGTGTGGGTGTGTGTGTGTGTGGGTGAATGTGTAGGTGTGGGTGTGTGTGTATGTGTGTGTGTGCGCGCGCGTGTGCGTGTGGGTGTGCGTACGTGTGTATGTGTGTGTGCGTGTGCGTGAGTGCTCGACGTGTGTGTTTGTATGACTAATAGAATGCGAAGAAGATAATAACCATGTAGAGTTGATTGAACCCATAAGAAAGGAGAATCCACTAAGATTAATATATCACCCCATTTATGTTATTAAATATCAAGTAGCTCGAGGAAAGAGAAGGAAAAGGTAAGATGGCTGAGCCGAAGTCAAAGATGTTTCGTATTTCTATTTCTGATGTATTAAATCTTTTGTAGTATCATACAAATATAAATTCTGTTTCATGTAGTTAGTTGTTATCTTTTTATGATGTACTTGAAATATGATATTATATAGACACTTATGTATGATTTTTAGTATCAATTAAGTACTTAATATAATGCTATTCTAGATATGTATTACCAAAATATTAAATGATTGATAAATTTTTTGAATTTGTTTGTTTCTTAGTCTAATAGATGAAAGTTTTAAATTTGTTTGTTTCTTAGGCAATTTGTTTGAATTCCTCAATTTTTTACTTTTATGTGAAATCCTAAAAAAAGAAGTATAATCTCAATAATAAATCACTATAGTTGTTTTTTTCTTCATATTATTAGTTTTTTTCATGCGAAAAATTGTTTAAAATAATATTATTAAACACGTCTTATTTTAATAAGAATTCTCATACATAACTATTTTTAAAATTATCCTAAGAAATAAGTTATACAAATTACTGACACGTGAGAAATAAAATTTCATAAATAATTAACATTAAAAAATTATAATAAGAAACAATATATTTTTAGTAATTAATTGTTTTTAAACAAATACATGTTTAATAGACTAAGTTTTAGTTTTGGTTTGTCTCGTTTAATTCATTTACGGAATTTTTTAATAAAAAAAATGGCGATTTATAAATTAATTGTGTTATCTTATTTTACATGTTATTTATATTTATTTATTTAAAATAAATTAATTTTAAAATTAATAATTAATTGTTTGAACTGATATTAGGTTTGAAAATTAACATAGGGAAGAGTTGTTTATATGGTGTAAGTCAAAGTCTCAAGATTCGTTGTGGTGGAAGGATGTGATGAAAAGTAATGACTTTTTGGGGACCGCAGATTTTGCTGATCTGATTTCTATTAGATTAGGTGATGGTGCTAATGCTTCATTTTGGTTTTCTAGATGACTTGGCAACTCGACATTTCAAGACCTATATCCGGGTTTGTGCGAGAAGTCTGATAGAAAGAGGGGGTGGTGAAAGACATGAGAGTGTGGAATGGGCATGTGTGGAGATAACAATTGAAACTCAATAATCTGGAAGAGTATCCCTGACTGGTGGAAGAGTTTAACGACCTGTTTTTTCTACTGCAGGATGTTCACCCCCAAAAAGGAAACTTTTGATCTTGTCATTTGGTCTTTTGGTCCTCTCAATTATTTTTCTGTGAAGTCCTATTATGACAGGTTGCAACTAGCTGTGGGAAGGGGTAACTTGGGCGTCTCGATGAAGGAAACATTACGGTTTATGTTGAAAATGACTCTTCCTTCGAAGGTGAAGATGTTTTTTTGGAGATTTCTTATTGACAGGCTACTAATGCGCCGTAACCTTGCTATGCGTGAGATCTTTTCCAACCTTCATAATCTAGTATGTGTTTTCTGTTTTGGACTTATTGAAGACAACAATCATGTATTCATTACATGTCCTAGAATCAAGTTAATTTGGAAGAAAATTTATGACTGGATAGATGTTGGGCGAATCAATGAAGTGCATTGTTGTAATCAATTACTGACGTGGATAGAAAGGTTGAGAGGGAGGTGTCCCAAAAAATCTTCATGTGGGATGTGGTTTGTTGGTGTATATGATGGTCAAGAAATCAAATTATTTTTAATGATGAAGTTGGGGATCCAAAGTTAATTGTGCAGAGAATTATGTTTTTTTCTTGGTGGTGGTTGGCAACTCGCTCAAAAATTAGAATTTCTTGTAATTATTATGAATGGTGAAAATTTCCATTAGATTTTATTTAGATGTTTTAAATTGTAAAGCTAGTTGATGCACAATTGTATTTTGATTTGAGATATCCCTATTTCGAAATTATAATGACTAAAATGTATAAAAATAAGTATTTTCTTTGTGCAAATAATAACTTTTTCATCTTCAATAACAAAGACAAAATTATTAATTAAAAAAAGTTTAATTATCCAAATTAAAATTTTTCTATTTTTTCCCGTTATTTTCTTCTCTATATTCATAAAAACATATATTTTTTTTTGCTATTCAATTTCAAATACCATTTCTCTTTTTTGATTTTAAAAATAATTCACTACATATTAAATTTTATTTACTTAGTTATTGTTCACCATGTTGTTATTGTTCTTATGATTCTTCTCATTTTTTTTATAACTCATTATCTTTTTCTTTCCATTTTTTTCAGTCTCTATGATAAATTTTTCAGTCTCTATGATAAAGAAGATTAAGATATTTTCAGGATATAAAAGACAATAATAACAACAAAAGAGTCACAACAATACTCAATATTTATTCATTAATATATTCTTCCAAATCAATAATTAATAATATTTCCAAATAAAAAATAATTATTATTCATTCATAAACAGAGTTTTCTAAAAATAAAAACCCAGATCTATTAAAATATACAGTATTTTAATCTTATGCTATTTTTCTCCTAGTATTTAAAAAAAATTCAGTATTCTTTATTCATCAAAATTGTAAAAATAAAAAGATCAAAATTATAATTTAATCTAATTAATAATTAATTCATTTCTTTGGAAGTTAATCAAATATGATATGTAAATTTTTTTAAAAAAATTTTATTCGTAAAAAGACTTATTAAAAGAATGTTTTTTGAGTATTACAGATAGCAAATATGTTGTCTCTTCAATACTTTTTCATTAATATTCTAATAATTATTATTATTATCACAATTCAATAAGTAATAATATAGTATTAAAAATGACATTAAAAGGAAATATGCACGGTAATTGAGATAATTTAAATTTAATCTACCATTTGTTTAAAATATTTAAAATAATTAAATAAACATAAAACAAATATGTTAATTAAAAATAATATTTTAGTCAGTACGTGACAATAAATTAATTAATTTTTTTATAATTAAATTATTCAAAATGTTTTGAAGAAGTGTTAAATTCATATATTTAAAATCAAATTTTAGTAATATTAGTAAATAATAATTAAGATAAATAAAATAAAAATGATTTATTAATATTTACAATGAAGACTAGACCAAACTACTTATATTTGAAAAGGTATTTTAAATTATAATTATCTATAAATATTCAAAAATTACGAGAGTATTTTGAAAATATTATAATTTAATAAAGATATCATGCATAGAATAATATTAAAATAATAAATATAATAGGGTCCAAAGTAAAAATAAAAATAAAAATATATTTATTAGAAAAGATTAATTGTTATACACTATTTATATAATATTTTTTACACTGTCAATGAATGATTTGTATTACGAACAACTCAAATCACCTTGTTAGATTAATCTCGTTATTTCTATGATATTAATTTTATTTGTATAATTATTTTTAAAAGTATTTTGTTCATTTGAAAATATAAAAGATCAATTAAAATTGTTGACTCATGAATCTAACGATTATTCAAGATTTAGTTAAAAAATTAGTTTTTTTTCTTCTCATATTAAAAAAAAAACAATATATATATTTAAGTCTTTTTAATTAAATACATTGTGTAGAAAAGCGTAAAAATTTATGGTTAAAAATGGGGCAATCCTCCGTATTTATGACGGATCTCAAGATTGTGTTAAACATTATTTTTTTATTTATTAATTTTTAAAAGAGAAAAATTAAATAAATTATGATCAGACAAAGTAGATAGTGTAAGAATGAAATTGAACACACAAATAATATAAAATTATAATGAGAACAATAATAAGAAACAAGAAATTGTGAAAATCAATAGACAAACACATTTTTATTAATAAAAGATAATCCAAAACTCTAAGGACAAGAAATTTGAGAAGAAATAGGAATAAACAAAAACCTAGAATCCGAAACATAAGTGAACGTTGCAACAGATGAAAACCGAAGTGGTGCTCCTTGTATGAGAAGACAATCTTCACTAAAAATTGCTGGATCAACAGGCTGACTTGATTTAAATCCATCGCAATTGAACTTGATTTGTGATTGACTGCAACTACATTGGTTTGTTACACTAACGTTGTATCTTGTGGCTGATGTTTTGGATTCTGAAACACGAATGTCACTCAAAGAACAAGGTTGTCCATAAGCTGCAATATATCAACAATAAATTAAACATCAAAACAATGAAAATAATAAATCCTATAATTAACAAACTGAAGATATGAAATGTATGAAACCTTGGAAAGCTAGGGCAAAGCAGAGAATGAGGGAGATAATGTTAAAAATAGAAGCCATTTGAGATTTGACTGGAAATATGTAAAATAGGGTTTGTGTGAGTGTGATAGAAAATTATTATTCTATTTATACTATCTAGTGGAACCAAAAATTAGCAAAAATTATTAAAATCCTTATTTATAATTCTTTCATTTCAATATTATTTAGGTCATGTTACTCGGGACACCGATTAAGAATTCTAAATATAAAAAATATTATATGTTTAATGCATTGAATAGATACAATATTAAAAAAAAATTAATTATTTTTATTTTCAATGCGTTGAATAGATATATATTTTTTATCTTTTTAGTCTCTTACAAAATGCTTAATTTATCTTTTTAATCTCTTAACGGAGACATTCGTTAGTATTTTCTTATTATTTATAGTATTTAAGGCTGAAAATGAGTCGAGTTGAAATCACCTCAGCTCGGCTCGACTCGTTAAGAATTGGTTCGAGTTTGAGTTCGAGTTCGACACGAACTTTTTTTAAGCTCAAACTCGACTCGTTATAAGTTCACGAACAGTTCGGTTCAACTCGTTAGGTTCATCTCATTAGGTTCAGCTCACATGATTCACGGACTTAAAAACTATTTTTTTTAAATATATATATTTTTAGTATATTTGATATTTTAAATAAATATATTTTTTAAAAATAAAATATTAAAATAAAATAAAAGTTATCATATTGAAATTTAACTTTATCTTCGAAATCTACTAATTCAAAACCTACACAACTTTCAAGAGATACATTTGAGAGTCTAATTCAAAAACTACTAAATTGAATATTAAATTTGTCTAAGATTTTTTCGAACTATTTTCGAGTTGGTTCGCTTCATTGCCAACCCTAATAGTATTTGACTAAATTATGAAAAAATAATAGGTAAAAAATAATAATTTTGCCTATTTACCAAAACAATATAGGTAGTATAATTTAATTGATGGTCAAAAGGATAATATATATTGAAATTAAAATATTCTCACATGAAATTCTTACTCAAAACTATTATACATTGAACATGATGTTTTTTATAATATTTTTTATTATAAAATACTATAATAATAAACTTTACAAAAAAAGTATAAGAATTTTCTATTATGAAAAATTTTCTAGAGGTCAAATTTTTAATTATTTTTTGAATTTCAAATCATTTATAAAGTAAACTAGGATTTTCAAAAATAACTATAACATATATACCTTATACAAAAATAAACATATTGCTTTTATTTTAAATATTTTAATTAATTATGTTATTGTTAAAAAATAGGATATTAAATATGTGTTAATTTATCTAAACAACATATAATTTTTTTATTTATAGAAGTGAATCAATCTAAATTCTTCATTGCAATTGTATATGGAAGTGACTCTTATGTGATTCAAAGACAATTATAAACTGAACTTATCAATCTTCAGTAAGTCAATCTTAGTCCTTGGTGTAAGATAGGTGATTTCAATATAATTATTTATTCTCGAAAAAAAAATTGTTAGATGGTCTACAAACAAACCTTCCATTGATGAGTTTCTTAATTTGACAAATACAAACGCGCTTATGCATCTTAACCCTAATAATAACTATTACACTTAGGCTATTAAAAAGAATAACGACGCTTACTCTTCTGCTAAGGTTTAAACATCTATTTGTAATATTAACTAGGTAGATAATTACAACATAGTCAATTGCTTTGCTTTGATCAAAAATCACTCAGACCATGACCTTATTCTTCTCCATTGTGGCAAATGTAGGTTTGATTCGGCTAGACCGTTCAAAATTTTGAAGGTTTAAACTCTAGATGATAGATACACACAAGTGATTACTGATAATTGAAATATTGGTGTGGTTGAATGACCTGTGTTTATTTTATATACTAAGTTAAGATCTTTTAAATATATTCTTAAGAAATGGAACAAAGATACATTTGGAAATATTCATCATAAAGTCACTCAAGCTATTAATGACGTTTACAAGATATAATGTTTAATTAATGGTGCATGTTACAATGATGATCTTGGATTATGTTACAATGATGATCTTGGATTGGAGGGAAAAATACAAATCTTCTGTTAGATAAAACATTGCATATGCAAGACCGGTTTTGGAGGAACAAAGGAAATAATGAGTGGTTTAAGGATGAAGATAAGAGTACAAATTTTTTGTTGATCTATGTGCTTACAAGTATGAAATTTTTTTCTACTGGCGACAAGATGTCAGACACAATGTTTGAACAACGTGTGTAACAATAATTATGCGTAATAGGAAGGATAAATGCATAAACTAAATAACACTAAAATTGTTAACTAAGTTCAGTGTAAAGTCACCTACATTTTGAGGGCATTAACTCAATGAAAGGAATTCACTTTTAATAGTTAGAAGTAAAATTGGTCTTATCTGAACTCATCACGTTCAGTGGCGCTTTCTTAATACTACATGTGAACAATCTTAAGTCCAAGAACAAAACTCTTCACTGATTCATACCAGCACAAAGGCGGCCTAGACCTTCTACCATACAAAGCTTCAAAAGGTCTCATTCCAATACTAGAATAGAAACAATTGCTATTATAACACCCTACTTTCCGACTTGACAAATAATTAAATATAACATATATAACACATAAATCATTCAAGTAAGATGCCACTCATACATCAACAAAATATACGTGAACCACATAATTGAAAATTAAATAATTTGATAAGTAGCAAAAATTTTAAAATAGTTAGCATAATAGTATAGACAACAATAAGTTTTAAAAGTGGTTCAACATAAAACAAATAAAAGAACAACTTGTTCCCCTTGTGTTATATATAAGAGCAACTCCAACTATAAACTCGATCGACGATCAACTAAAGTGGCACAACGCCATAATTTATACCAAACTTCTACTGAGGTACATGATTATATGTACTCCTGAAGAGCACAAACACAACAACATAAAAGGGGGGGGGGGGTGAGAATACGTTCAAATAATAATCGATACACAAAATAATTAGGATAGATTCACACGTCACAAATCATACACATATCAAACATGCACCATAATATCACATATTCATATTTTACCCACATCACGATCAATCACCAATCACAATGTTATTCATCACATTCAAAATCATACAAATCCGTACAAGATTATCCAACAACACTCAAATATCTCATCTGCACAACTGCTATGTAATGCAATACAACATCAACTCGACTTATGCTTGTCACGACCCCCTCTCTAAACCGGAATCACAATTCAACTCTCTATATATGTGGTACCAACTAAATATTTGGTTTTTTCAGGAACCGAGTCCCCCCTTATGAACCCATGAGCCCTACTTCTGAGCTTGGAGAAGCCACTAGTCCACCATTCTGAACTAACGAACATGCCTCTTTCAACGACTAACACAGTGATGCATGTCCATTAAAATCAATGAAACAACAATAATAATACTTACGACCCCTTTCTGACCATAAATAATATGCATTCACACACAAAAGTAACTCCCTTCTGAATTACCATCCACCAATAAAACCAACAGTGCACACCCATAATACATAATTAATCCCCATATAATGAAGCATTTCATAACAATATGAATCATATTCATACCATATAACATCACCAAACAACAACACTACATCAAATACATATCCACATAGTACTCAATTATGTTAAATCATCTTGACATCAATTCATCATTAATTCGTTCAATCACATCGATTAACCATGTGTTTATTATTGTTAACTAGTGCGTAACAAGAAAAAATATCAATTTTTCACAATTTCCAGCACTTATCTAGCCTCTTAATTCATCACTATAGGATAGCCATACACGTTAGCTTTCCATCGCTTCGAACCACACCTCATTTTGACATACAAAACAAAAGTTATGGAGAAAACAATCAAGTAAAATAACATGCTTAAGTTCATCAATTTTTCAAAATTCAACTAGTATCAATCGATTGACATATGGGTCCAATCGATTGACATCAATTCCTATCACATTATGCCTTGCCAGTTTTTCACATTTTGGTTGAGAACAATCAATTGATTCAGGGAATTAGTCGATTGACATAATTATATTCTTTTTTTTTTCCAGATTTTTCCCAAATTACATGCATGCAATCGATTGACATAATGTCAATCGATTGACATCATCTCAAAATCCAAAAATCCTAGTATTTCACACGTAACTTCATCTTCCCCATTCCATACCCCTCATACATCATCCCAACTCTCATTATAACATTCAAATACATCATATACATATCCTCCTATGATCAATACATAAATTATCCACTGATTAAAACACTTAATCCATCATTTTTATAATGAATTAAATCAATTATGTTCATGCCCTAAAACACCCAATTTGAACACAAATTAATGATTTAATGAATTAACGCATGAATGTAAATCGACATAACATCAAACACAAATTTCACATCAATTCAGGGTATAAAAACATAATCACAATCATCTTTTATCATATTAGCATCTAACAAAAGATAAAAGACAACCTTGTTGGAGGTTAAGGGAAACCTCTCGCCCCTTTCATAAGGCCCCCCTTAGATGAGTAATTCCATCTTATCTTGTAAATCTAGCAAAAGTACAAGCAAGAAAGCTCCTATGGCCTTCTCCCCCAACACCCTATCTCTCTCTCCAAAGCTCTTGCTCTCCTATTCTCGTTTCACGTTTACAGAAAAACTCCTAAAAACCCATATTTTTCAGTTTCTCTTAAAATATATACTAACTTAATTAAATTATCTATAATTTAATTTTTGGCCAAACTAAAACATGAGTCATCTCCATTGACCATATAATTTATATTATTTATACTTTGAGCTCAACTCTTACTATTCTCTTAATTTCTCATATTTTAATTAACTAAATTCCACCAAAAATCTAATTAACCACACACAATTCACAACAAGTGTCGTCACCGGCCAAACACGTTATAAATCAAATAAAGTAATATTTAAATATATTAATTAAATAGATCAAGAAATAAATAAATAAACAACTAATTATATCG